ACTTGCGAGAACAAAAAAAAAACAGCAAAAAAGAGGACGCCTACAGCGCGCATGACGTTGGTTCCCACGTTGTCCGTTTGACGCTGCGAGGGTTTGTCGAGGCGCCTCCAGCCGTCCCGGGGTCTTGTTGGGGCAGTCCCAATGCTCTCTTAGGCGTTTCTGGGGGCTCGCTGGAAGCCTCTCGAGGCCTCTTGGGCCTCCTGGGGGCCTGTTGGGGGTCTCCTGGGGACCTCTTGGGCTCCTGAGGGGCTCTTTGGCCGGGGAGCTCGAAATGTCAGTCCCCGCACCCGGCGGCCACACGTGGAACACATCGTGGCGTCAACGGCCAACATTATTCTAAGATGCTCGCTGCCGTGCGCAGCAATCAAAATCAATTAAAGGCCTGGGGAGGGCCAGAGGCGGCTGGCCAACGACCACCATTCCTGTGAGATGTGCACTGACAAGCGAAGAATTGAAGTACACATGTGTAATTGGAGGAGCATACAAAGTGGCGGTCGTCAACTGCGGGACAGCCCCTCCCGGCCACACGCGGGCCACATCGTGGCGCCAACGACCACCGTTTTTCTTCGACGCCCACTGCCGTGCGAATCTTTCAAAATCCGCCCACTCCAACTTGGGGGGGGGGGCGTGTGAGACATTTGGCTTTGCCCCTCAACTCTTCCCGATCCCCTGGGGCCCAAAATGACGTTTTGAGGGGGGCCTTCCCCGGGCCTATGACTTCGTGAACGCTTTACCTGGAGCCTCGGGAGCCTTAACAGAACTCGAAACAGCCCAGGAGGGCTCACACACAGCGCCAAGATAATTCGATAGGGTTTTAAAATGACCCGGGGTACTCCCACGACGGTCCGATATGGGTGCGCGATGACCCACGCGGCCCCCAAGACGGCCCAAGAGTGCTCCTAGATGGCCGCCGACAGAGCCAGAAGAGTCGACCATGCTCTGAGTCCTATAGGAAACGTACATGTTTCGCTAACTCGCTTTTTTCGTCATGCAAGCGTCCAAGACGGCCCAAGGAACCGCCAAAAGCATTCCAATACGGCCCGTCAGGCCCCTAAGATGGCCCGAAGACGGCCCAAGAGGGCTCCAAGACAGGCCTAGGCGCCTGCCAGATGGCCCGAGAGATCCCCAAGGGGGCCCCAAGCCTCAAGAGGGAGAACACAAAAGATGGCCCCAATTGGCAAGAGGCGCCGAAGAGTCCCAAGTTGCCACGAAGAAGCTCCCCAAATTTTGCTATCGGAGTTCCCCAAAGCAAACTTTGATTGACTCGCGGGCTTACGGAAAACACCTTCGCCATACTCGCTCTGGCTGGGCCTCCCTGGAGGAGGGGAAGGGGCACGAATCCTGATCAATAACATGGTATGCCTCATGCCGATTGCCTCCCCGCTCTGGCTGAGCCTCCTTGGAGGGGTGGGAGAGGCACGAAACCTAGGACATACTATGATATGCAAATGCCCTCGTCGCTCAGTCGGGGCCTCCCTGAAGACGGGAAACGGGAGGAAGACCTCGACAGAGGGGCGCATTATGGGCCCGAATGCATCTGAGCCCGAAGTCAGTGCACAGTTTCGGCTCCAGTCCAACGAAAAGGACTTCTTAAAGAGCCAGGGGGGCAAGAGATCAGAATCAACTCCCTGTCTTCGCTCCTCCTCCTCCTCCTCCTCCTCCTTTTCCTCCTCCCTCCTTTTGGTCCTCATCCTTCTCCTCCTCGCCTTCCTCCGCCACCTTACATCACCATAGGGCCCCTCTCTACCTATCGTCGTCGTCTTCGTCGTCCTCGTCGGCGTCGTCTCCGGCACCTGCCTCTCTCGCCTTGTGCCAGCGGGGCATTTTGATGTACGCAGTTTTGACTCCGGCCGTCGTCATCGTCGTCGTCGTCGTCGTCGTCGTCGACGTCGTCGTCGTCGTCGTCGTCGTCGTCGTCGTCGTCGTCGTCGTCGTCGTCGTCGTCGTCGTCGTCGGCGTCTTCGCCCTCGTCGTCGCCGTGGACGTCGGCGAGGCGGCCGGAGACAAAACTGTGTACATCAATATGCCCCGCTGGCACAGGGCGAGAGAGGCAGGTGCCGGAGACGACGCCGACGAGGACGACGAAGACGACGACGATCCGCGACGATTGATGTACACAGTTTTGACTCCGGCCGTCGTCGTCGTCGTCGTCGTCGTTGGCGTCTTCGTCGTCGCCGTCGTCGTCGTCGTCGTGGGCGTCGGCGAGGCGGCCGGAGTCAAAACTGCGTACATCAATTTGCTCCGCTGGCACAGGGCAAGACAGTCAGGTGCCGACGACGTCGACGACGACGTCGACGACAGTCGGTGCCGACGACAGGCATTCCCAAATAAATCATCCAGAAATCCACAGCGAAAGCGCGATTCCTGAGTGTCGAGGGCGCGGCGTCTGACTAGATGGCGAGGACGCACCACGCAAGAGTGCGATTTCTGCATAAATTGTGAAGACATCCCGCGCGAAAGCAAGATTTGGGAATCAACTGTGAGGAAGTATCAGGGGGGAGCCGCTGTTGCTGCAAACTGGAAGCAAAAAACACAATTCTGAGACCCTAGACTTTCCACGAAAAAATCTGAATGCGAGCCCCAGGAAAGGTACTTCAATAGGAAAAACACGATGTGCTCCAGAGGGGGGATCAACAATAATTATTATTCATTCGTGATTCAACAACAACAACAACAACCACAACAACAACAACAACAACAACAACAACAACAGCAACCACAACCACAACCACAACCACAACCACAACCACAACCACAACCACAACCACAACCAAAACAACAACAACAACAACAACAACAACAACAACAACAACAGCAGCAGCAGCAACCACCACCACCACCACCACCACCACCACCACAACCACAGCTAAACAACAACAATAACAAGAGCACTAACAACAACAACAGCAACAACAACTATAACAACAGCCACAACAACAACAATCACAACCATAACCAGAACAACAACATAACAACAAACCGACGACAACAACAACAACAACGACTACTACAACAACAATAACAACAACAGCAACAACAGACAACAACAACAACAACAACAACAACAACAACAACAACAGCAGCAACAGCAACAACAACAACAACAACAAGAACAACAACAACAACAACAACAACAACAGCAACCACCACAATAACAGCAGCAACAACAACAAGACAAACACTAACAGCAACAACAACAACAACAATGATAACAAAACAGAACATGCTACCCGAATGCTCTATGATGGTATGTGCAACATGCATCCATCATGATAGCTCCCCCCTCATGGGTAGTATGTTCTCGCACAGGGGGGCGATATTCCCTTACCCAGATATCCCTCCCGAGGAGGTATTGACAACACCTCTTCCGAAACACTTCAACATCTCCAATCGGGAAGGCAAATCGCCTTCGCAATCGCTCTGCCCACGCCTTGCTTCTAGGTAGAATATCACCACGCCCGGTGGTCCAAAACCTCTGGGAGAGGCACACAACTTGTGGGAGAGCCCCCAGAGCCCCTTGGACAAACTCTGGAGCCCGTTGGAGAGCCCCCACAGCCTGTCAGGTAAGCTCATGAACCCTTGTGGGAAACGTGAGGGCCCCTGGGAAACGCTGTACAATTGAATTGGGCCATTTCGGGCTTCAAAACGGCACCCCAACGGCCCAAGACGGCCATAGAGGCACACAAGATTGCTCCAAGATCGCCCAAGAGGCCTCCAAGATGGCCCAAAAACGGCCCAAGAGGCTCCCAAGACGGCCCCGAAAGGGCGCCAAGACGGCCCAAGAGGCCTCAACGACGCCCGGGATGGCCAAAGAGAGCCCTAAGACGGCCCAGAGAGGCTGCCAAGGCGGCTTCCGACAGCGTCAGAGGGGCCAGGAACGCCGAAAGGCGGCCAAAGAGACCTCCGAGGAGCCCCCGAAGGCCCCGAAGAGGCCCAAGGAGGCCAAAGAGATCTTCAAGAGGCCCCCCAGGAAGCTCCCAGGCGGCCCCAAGAATGACTCAAGAAGCTCCCAAGGGGTCTCCTCATCTTTCCCCTCATCCTTTTTTGCTCCTCCCTCTCCTCATCCTCCTCTTCCCCCCCGCGTGTTCGCCGAAGGGCTTCCGCCACGGCTGGGGGAACGCATGGCCCAACAGCGCGGCAAAACTCTGCCCGAACGTCTAGCCACACGGGCGTATCCTTCAAGGCAGAGGGGGCGGCGGCGGCTTGCCGCAGGCGCATCCGAGGACAGAAAACTGTCCAGGGAAGGGGGCGCGGTTGCTCTGCCCCATCGCTGCCGTCTCCATCCGGCGGCTCGGCGGACGCAGAGTTCATTCAGACGACCTACCAGACCACCCAACCCAACCCGAAGACCCGAATTTGACCCGAGTTTCGGGTTGGGGGGGGTACGGGTTCCGTGTGTTGTTTCAATGTTCCCCGACCCCCCCCGCTGGAAATCGAGGATAAGTTTGGACCTCCGGGTCGGGTTGGGGTGGTTTGGTGGGCGGTGACATTCAGGGCAGGGATGCTGTGGAGCGGTCGCCGCTTGCATGTGCTGTGTGCCGTACCAGCGCAGACAGAGTGTTGCCACTCGTGCACCTGCTGCGCGCGCACGCCGCTGCCACCTTCACTCGAGTCCTCACGAGCCCCAGAAGGGGGCAAGACAGTGACACGAGTACTGTCGAAGAGACGGGCTGGAGAGCGCCATAAAATTCAGGGCACTCGACAAGAGTTGCGGGTTGTCCTTTTTGAAGCTCTGCTGTCTAGGAAACAACTCCTGGAAGACCTTCGCAAGAGCGACTAAATGCTATTGATCCCGATTAGCCGGATGAAGCCAAGTAAGCCCAGGATCAAGATGGATTGAGCGGTTGTCTGCGAGGTCAAGAGGGACTAAGCGGAAGGAAGCCGAAGTAGGCCAGCTGTTGCCCACGGATACACCAGCGCCGATGCTGAATTGAACCACCCAGGCGTTGCATCACCATTTTCGAGCCGCGTCCAACTGCGGCGACGGCGGGGCTCTTTTTCCCCCCTTTCTGGCCGGAGTCAATGCTGAGCCACCTTAGCCCCTCAGCCAGCTCCAGTCACGAACCCTCCAGACCGTGAGATCCAACGAGGCGAAACAAATACAACATCGACAAAAATCACGACTGGCACCCTCGATCTGCGAGGGCCCCCGGGATCGAAACCGGGCGGAAACGCCCATCCCGAAAATAAACGGACGCCAAGATATCTCAAGGGAGGTCAACGGATGCCTCTCTCCTTTATTCCGCAATCGACCGAAGCGTCGTATCCGGCATGCACCAACCAGAACCACGCAACACAGCACAGTAACATGCGAGTCTCGGGATGCGTAAGACCCCGACGACGTCGAGTTTGCCAGCACAGCTGGTTGCGAATTTCAGGATGCGTAGACCCTAAAGACGTCGAGCTTGCATGCATCGGGAACGAGGCAAAAGAGAAGCAAGTCTCGCAACATTGCGTCGCTGCACTGGTCCAGGCCAGAAAGGGACCTGCAATGGTGCCCCGTCTCTTGCGGAGCGAACTGGCGCAATCATTCTGCATGACGATTGGCCTATTGTGGGACAAGCTGACGCAGTCATTCTGCACGAGACAGCGGTGCAATCATGCGCACCATTGTCTTCTGTCATCTCACACGCGGCGCACCCAGCCAGGCAGACCTCGGGGGATGACCTCTGGCACGTCCTTGGCGATGGCGGTCCAGTCGGCATCCTCGAGGCCGCGGTAGATCATCTCGCCCACGTGCTGCGCGCGCTCGGGCAATGCCCACGCCCAGCACCTCACGAAGCGCGTGCGCATCATGGGCTCGGGGAGGTTGCGGACCACGTACGGCAGCACGACGCGCCACACCTGCTGCTTTGAGAGAGGCATCTTGCCCTCGGGCATCGTGGGCGGGAAGCCCAGGGCGCTCTCGAGGTCGCCCTCCTTCGAAGGATAGCCGTAGCGGCCGGTCTTCGTGAACTGGGCCAGGTCGTAGCTGCTCCAACTCTTCGGGTCGCCCCCGGAGGAAGGGCGCTCGAGCCCCTGCACCTTGGCCCGGAACTCCTCCACGGACATCGCCTCGTACGCGTCCCAGATCTTGCGCACGATGCGGATCTGGATGTCCATGTTGAAGGTGCGGCGGTTCAGCGCCAGCAGGTTTTCCTCCTCCCAGTCCATGTGCTTCTCCATGAACGGCACGTACTTCGCCAGCTCGTCGACCATGATCTGGGCCGCGACGTGGGCCTGCGGGCTCCACTCGGTGGCCTGCTTGATCGTGTCCATGGCGTCGTTCAGCTTGTGCTCCATGTGCTCCAGCTGCTCGTGCTGCACGTAGCCGTCCCTGGTGGCCATCGGGTTGAACGCGTCGATCTCTCGGAACATGATCTGGTCCTCCTGGTGCGCGTGCCACTCCAGCGTCACGCCGTACAGCTCCCACTCGTCGGCGAGGCTGCGGGCCAGGCCCAGAGGCTGGCCGCCCCTCTTCATGTCGTCGCCGAGCGCCGACGCCTGCGCCGCCAGCTTCGCGCCCGCGACGCGGAAGGCCTCGTGCGTGAGCTTGTTCAGGGACAGGGGGGCCCACTTGGTCTCTGGGCGCAGCCAGCGGCGCTTGAGCAGCCAGAAGGCAGTGTTCAGGAAGAGCACCGCGTTGCCGTAGGAGGCGATGGCCAGCGTGGCGTAGGCGAGGCCGCTGGAGAAGTTGGCGGCCATCAGCGTGCCCTTCACGCTCTTCGCGTAAACCATGCATGACATGGCCAGCACGTCCAGCGGGAAGGCCAGGGCCCAGAACGAGAAGTCGAACCTGAGCTTGATCAGGAACCCCATGGGGACGGCCAGCCAGAAGAGGACCAGGAATGTGGAGCAGCCTGCGAAGAAAAGGGTATGCTCCACTGCGTCAAAGTAGCTCACCTTCGACGGCCCCTTCCCAGAGCTGCCAGCGGTGTAGAAGGCAGCCGGGCCCACGCGCAGCATGAGGTGCGCCAGGAAGGGCAGCTGAAGAGCCACCACCCACATGCCCATGGACACGCGCGTGCGCTCGTCGCTCCAGTGGAAACTGACGGCCTCGAGGAGCGTTCCGCCCATCAGCACGACGCTCAGCACCGCAGCCAGGCCGAAAAAGAACCAGCCGAACTCGGTGTAGCCCCACACGTCGTCGAAGCCGTCAAAGATCGGAGCCACCATGGCAGCGACCATGCATCCGATGATGGGGAGCAGTATCTGCGCCTGCTTGTGGTCCTGGTTGGCGCGGTTGCCGACGACCCAGGCGAGCCTGTAGACCATGAGCGCCTTCAGCAGGGCGGCGCCGATCCAGAACAGAACGACGCACAGCTGCTTCACCTCCTTGTGAGCGCTTTTGTTCCCCTTCCCGTGTAATTATCGTTACCCGGGGGGGGCGGGCGGGAGGTCAACGGTAACGGCGGCCGCGGCGTGCACCCGCCAGGGTGCGTCCGCGCCACCGGCGCATCAATCGCCTGTGCGCGCGAGTCCTTGTGCACACGACAAGGCCGAATGCCTGCGTGCCACACAACGCCGCCTGTGTACACCACAATGCCTCCGTACACCACACTCAGCCGCGTGCACCGCAGCACCACGTCGCCTATGTACATCGCAGTGCCTGCGCAAAACTGCAGCAGCCGCGTGCGCGACAGCGCCTGTGTACACCACATTGCCTGCGTGCACCAGAGCGCTTGTGCGCACCACAGCGCCTGTGTACACCACAGCAACCATGTGCACCGCAACGCCTGTGCACGCCACAATGCTTCCGTGCACCACAATGCGTGTGCACACCAGAACGCCAAACGTGCCAGCGAGCACATTAATAGATTGCAAGGCTTCTTTGCGGGGTTCCCCACTGATCCCAGAGGCCTGCAGGACTCGTCATTCATGTCCTCTTCCTCCACCTCCTCCTCCTCCCCCTCCTCCTCCTCCTTCTACGCCTCCTCCTCCTCCTCTTCCTCTCCTCTTCCTCCCCTCTTCCTCTGCTCTTTCAACGGTCTTGGCGGCCTTCGTTGAGGGGGGAATACGGAGCGGGAGGAGAAGAAAGAGGAGCAGTAACCAGAGGAGCAGCAGGAGCCTCACGACGGGGTCGAAAGCTCCAGCGCCGTCGGATTCCCAGAACAACGCTTGCATTGAGGCGCCCATGCTCCCCGCGCAATGCTTGCACCGTTACCAACATTGATAACGCCGCACAGGTTGCGCCCACGAGCTCGGCGCCGCAACAGGCGGAGAGCCTGCGGGCGCCACAACACATGTGTGAGCACCAAAGCGTGCCTTTTAGCACCACGCCAGGCCTGCGAGCACAGCGCCATACCTGCGGGGGGCCCGCCCCCTAGTATGCAGGGGGGCGGGTCCAGGCCACCCCGCCCAGTACGATAGTTAGCGTCACACGGGGGAGTGGCTGGCCCGGGCAACGAGCGTCACGCTGGGGAGGGTAAAAAGACCGCTCGCCTTTCTGGTGTCGTAGTCGGGGGTGTCGTAGTCGTCGCTGTCCCACAGCAGGAAAGCATAAATCACCAGGCACGTGGGCAGCGTCGCGCAATTGCCCGACTTCATCGGGTGCGACACCTCCTTGAGGAGCTTGCGCGGGAAGATCAGGAGCTTCGCGAACAGCAGGGCCAGCAGGGCTCCGGACAGACCAACGGAGATCCACATCAGCACGCGCCACGTGGTGTCGCCGCACATGCGGCCAGTCTCGAGCGCCGGCGTGTAGTTGCCGAGCTTCCAGGCCATCGCCAGCGCAGCGATGCCGAGCGGCATCATGAAGTCCCCGATCGCCACGTGCTTGACGGGGTGGAAGCCGCGTCGCTTGTGCTCGTCCGTCTTGCGGAACTTCACGCGGAGGTCCGCCGGCGTCTCAGGCTGGCCGGGCTGGCGGTGAACGTACTCCTCGAGCGGACGCAGCTCGCCGGAGAAGTCGTCCTGGTGGTCCATCTGCGCCTGCATCAAGGACTTCTGGCTGATGGCCATGTCGTTCACCTTCGACGTGACGAAACCGAACTTGATCATGTATGTGAACATGAAGCAGCCGGCGCAGAAGTCCAGGAACGCCTCGAGGCCGGCCGCGCCGAGCAGCATGGCCGCCACCACGGCGCCAGCGATGTCCTGGCGCGCGAGCAGCAGGGCGCCAGTGGTGCTGGCGAAGCAGCAGCCCAGCAGCGCGGCGAACTGCTTCTGCGGGCCCGCAACCAGCCGCTCCCTGAACGGCAGCGAGAGGATGGCGGAGACGGCACCCACGGGCGAGGCGGTGCCGCCAGCGACGAGGCGGATGAAGAAGTCGAGGCCGAGGCCGAGCATCAGCCAGCCGGTCCAGGGCTCCTCGCGCCAGATCACCGCCAGCACACAGCAGCAGACGGCCTGGAAGCCAGCGAAGCGAGCCGCGACGCCGTTGAGCGCCGGAGGGAAGAAGAAGAGCGGGAAGCTCACGGGCGGCAGCATGCGTGCGCGGGGCTTCTCCCCCTCGGCCGCCAAGGCGAGGTCGCCGCCAAGTTCCGCGCGCAGCTCGCCGCGGCCCTCCATCGCGACGAGCTGGTCGCAGCCGCCGAGGAACTTGTCGCCGTGGAAGACCATCGGCACCGTTTTGTGGCCGCCAGCCGCCGCCCTGGCCAGCTCGCGAACCGTCGGCCCGTCCTTGAGCTTTTCCACGTCCAGGATCGCGAGGCGCTCCGGCCTCACCAAGCCCTCCAGGATGGTCCGGGCGCGGGCGCAGAACGTGCACCCAGACTTTGCGACGAGGACCACCTTCCCCTCGGACCTCGCGTCCCTGAAGAGCGCCGCTCCTTCCGAGCCGATGCGTTCCTTCATCTCCGCACCGCTGGCGGTCGCCATGGCACGAGTGCTGACAAGAAGGCGGTCACGGGTGCGGGCTCTGGTCTCAACGAGTGGTGCTGGTGCCAGGCTGGTGCTGGTGCCAGAACAACTTGAGCGAAGGAGTTGCGGCGACCCCTGGATGAATATCTCTGCGGGGAGCGAGGGGGGAAGTGACAGGGAGGAGACCTCCTCAGAACAGGACTTCTCGGAAGCCCTCGCACCTT